AAGACATTTTTTTTTTTTTTGTTTTATTCATGATTGCTATATTTGAGGTAACAGGTAACTTAAAGTAAAAGTGTTGTAGTCATGTACAATCATAATTATTATCATGGATAATGATAAAACAATTCAATAATGACCTGAGAACTGTACTAAATTTTACATAAATACAAAAATACCAAAGTAATAATTGTACAATATAGTAGATAACACAAAATAAAATAAACTGTATCATATACTTCTGTTTTATAGAAATCTAATATTAAATATTATAAAATATAAATACAGTGTTCCATGAAGATATACCATTTAGCCATAGAGGGGGACTCACCGCTGGATAAAAACCAGTTTTATTGTAATTTTATCAATTAACTGAAAAAATTATTAAAAACCTTGTAATTAATAAAAATAAAATGTTGAAAGGTCAAAATTTTCAGCAAAATAAACTCTATAAAATAGGTATCTTTATTTTTTTCAAAAATTAAAAAATAGGCTAAGTTAGGTTATGCAGCATTAGTCTATGTAAGTCTAATAAAAAAAAACAGATGTATGATATATTTTTTTATCTCAATAGATGCAATGGTTAAATCTTCGCGAGACATCTTGTATATATTTCAAAATTTTCCAACATTTGGTAACTTCTGAACCAATATATTACAACTATTACGTTCACTACTGTATTTATTTGATAATATATTAAATGTATTTAAATGTATTAGGTATTAATTAATTTTTATTAATATTCTTTTTTTTAAACATATCATTCAAAACTATTTATTTATAAAATTTTTGTTCTAACACCTGGCTTTGTTTACTAAAAATGTAATCTGAACTCGATTGGCAGTAAATTTGAAAAGATTTTGGGTTTTAAACCCAAAACGATTAATTGAAACTAAAAGATCCGAGGTTTTGGGTGAAGTAAGCGGCTAGAGAAAAGTATCACTGAAAAACTAAAAATAATAAAATAGGTAGGTAAGATTCACTCATAAGAAAAAACACTACGTATATTTGTTGATATTAAAGGATAATCCTAGTCTAAATTTTTTTTTTATGTACCTTGCGATGCAGCAATAGGAACCTAAATATTCCTCCCTGGCTTTGATTCCAACAGGAAAAAAAATCCTAGACCCAGAACTAAATAGAATAAATATTAAGTTTGCTTTGAAGAAAAAAAATTTGTTGGGGAGTTAATTCTTATAAATATCTTGATGTTGTTGGTCAATAGGAAGATATTTAATCTCTGTAATCTAATTAAACTAAGTTTAGTTTATTGTACCTAATACTTTAATAATGTTTACTTTCTAAGCACTTATTCAAAAAATATTTGTTATTCATTGATCCAGAAACTAAAACAAAATATTTATTTCCTTGACTTTATCATGAGAATACAATTTATATTTATCTATACTGATTATACTTAAACAAAATATATAGTTTAATTGTATACTAAACAAGTGTCTACATTATGCAAAGTTCATTTGCATAATTTATGCAGAGGTTACTAGATTAGAATAGTTCAAATTGTCTGTAAAGCAAAATAAATGTTTTAATTGAAGATGGCCATATTTGTAATGGAGTTTATTTGAATAAGTATATAAAAGTGGTATATCTCCAGTATATTATGATCAGGGTTCATAAGTTCATGCATTTGAATATCAGCCTTGCTAAGTTGTATTCAGTGCTTATTTTGCATGTTTATGCCTATTTGGCATATTTCTATTTTATCGGGCATATTATACATAATTTTGATATCCCTATTTATATTTATTTAATATCAATATGTATTTTTATTATGGAAATACTATGAAAGAATTAACATTTGTTGAAAAAAAACATGATCGTCAATAATTTTTCAATTTAACTGCAAAAAAAAAAAATATATATATATATATATAATTATGAAAAATGAATGGATAATTCATGTCATTTCAAAAATAGTTCATGATCTTTTTTAATAAGCATTTTTTAAGTGCGTAATTTTAGATATTTAGTGCATATAAATGCATATTTTTCCAATTTTGAGTGCATAAATGCATGCTCATTTAGATATCTTTTAGGGCATGAACTTACGGCCCTGATTATGTTAAATGAGGTGACATAAAATATTTTTCAGATTAATATTTGATTTGACAAACTACTTTACTACCTAACAATTAGATAGATTGTTTTTCAACATTTAATACACCTACTACCTAGTGTCCTACTGCCCTAGTACTCACCAACAATTGCAAATGAGTTATAAGCTTAATCCATATGTCATTGTTCTATTAAATTGACAAATACAAATTTAACTACTAATATATAAAACCTAATACAAATAATTTGATGTTGTATTCCATGTAGCAAATTTTTTACATACTTATAATTAGGGATGAGCTGATACCGCTTTTTACCAATATCCGATACTCCAATATATGCTGCCAATATAAAATCAATACCCGATAATATATGGAAATATAAGAACAACATTTTTGGCAAAAAAAAGCATGAACGGATACCATTAACCAATACCTATATAATAAAACTGGTAACATAAATATTAGCTAGAAAAGTGAAAACATTGATTATTAATGGTAATAAATAATAGGGAAGAGGACTTGAAGTATTTGCATATTTGTTTTACATCACAGTCACAAAAATAGCAGAGTACGATACAAATACATTTCACGCTTTTACAAAGCTAGTTTTGAAATTTTATTGTGCATATAAATTATAAATGCATATTTTGCATTTTTTTTGGTTTAAAAGGCATATTTTACACTTTTATATGCTATTTTAACTTTTTGAGACATATTTAACTTAAATCGATTTTTCCACTGTGACATTTTTATTTCAAACAATACAGTCAAAATGTTTGGATAAAAATGTATTTATTTTAATTTTTTGTAGTATAATATGGTATTTGATTATTCACAGGCACACGCTTTTCGTAAAAGTGATAACGATCTAATGTTGTACACTATACATATGACATCACCATCACAGCTTTGTGCGAACCACACAGGCTTTTATTCGATTAGGATTTATATATAAAACGTTTCTAGACATGACAACAATCACTATTTTAGTATTTAGTCTCAGTCAGTTCTGCGGAATATACATTTGWGTAAAAAAATTTTAAGTGCATAAGTACTTGCAAAATTAGAGCTTTTTTAGAGCTACAAGTCCTCTGCCCTAGTAATAAATGATTATTTAATATTGGTAACTTAACCTGAGCATTTGTAAATTGTGATATACCATACAGTTCAATAACTATGTTTTGGGGTATCGGCTCATCTCTACTTATAATATATATAAATAAATAAACCTAAATATATTTTTTTCCTAACTATTATTTGGTTACCAGACAGGTTTTTAAATCCAACGATTAACCAATTATATAAGCTATTTCATACTTCAAACATTTAGTTGTTAGGTAGGTACTTCTTAATTAGTTGTAATAGGGTTAAAAATGTTTTTAATATTTCATGAAACAGAATTATATTAAATATTAATCTGCAATGATGATTGTTAAGTAGATATATGTAGAATGTTGTTTTGACAAATTACCTCATTATTATTCATAATTGAATACTTCAATTTTTGTTGATAATTTAGTCTTATTCTACGCTTCAATAAAAACATTTTGACACTAAAACAAATATTAAAGTAGGTATTTATACTTAATATTAAGTACTAACTGCAAATCTCTAAAACCTAAAAGATCAATATTTAAAAATAAAATAACTTTTTGTTTTGTTTAGATAGGTAATAGGTAGTACCTATACTATATATTTAACATTTGAAAAATAAAGATTTAACTAATAGATAGTATCGAGGATAGTATATTCATAATTGTAGAAAAACCAACAATTAACATTGACCTAAAAATTCTTAGTTTTACTCAAATGTAATCAATGATTACTGTAGTTAATACTAGGTATACCTACGTATTTCATTTTATACACAAATCATAAATACAAAAAATTAAAACTTAATTATTTAATTACAAAAATTAAAATAAGTAATACTGGGAGTATGAAACACTGTAACTAGTTTTAATAATTTAATTTCAATTCTTTTAGAATTTAACGGGAAATATGTAAACAGTCTTATAGATTTTGTAATAAATTTTATTTTGTACATACCTTGTTTAAGTAAATTTTTAGTTAAACTAAAATTTGTTTATTACAATAGATTATTTTTATTA